TACCTTCCATAATCAAGTCAGAAGCAACTATACTATTCATCATGTATTATTTGTTTATGCGCTTCTACGTTTCAAAAATATTTAATTCAGCTAAAGTTTGTAAAAAGTTTAAACGTACTAACGTAATTATTAAATTTTTAACTTTAGAGTTAGTTTAAAATAAAACTCAAAACAAAATATTCTTCTGTGGTTAAATTTTCTAAAATAGAAGATAAGTTTTTATTTTAGAAAAAAATTATTCTGATTTTCATACAACACAAATTAGCATATATAGGCAAATTATGGACGAGATAAAGGTGGACTTCCATATATGTTGGCACAAACATGCGAATGAAAATATCAATTATTCGATTGTTGCATTCAATATATCGTTTGGTTAGTTAGGTTAGGTTAACCTTACCTAACTAACCAAACGATGTATCGAATAATCGATATATCGATCGATATTTTCATTCGGTTGTTTGTGTCAACATATATGGAAGTCTACCCCGAGATAATTTCTTTTAATACATTGACCAGTCGATAAAATTTACTTATTTGTTCCTAAAGATGTGATAACAGCTCAAAAATTTGGAAATAGCTAAAAATGACAAAATAATGTACAGGATAAACTTGACTTTATGTTGAATTATACATACAAGACCACTTATGACTAAAGACTGATTTATTTCATGGATTTATTAAGAATACATACTATTAACGTGGCTTTGTAACTATTTACAATAAAACTGTTTAAATGTTAGGTTAAATTGTGTAACAACTAGGTGTTTACAGCTTTTTCATCAAGCTATGTGAATTATATTTTTTCTGATAGGTTTACGTATCCAAATCTTGTGACGAAAAATATATATTTTGTGAAGCAAAAAGAGGGTTAAAAAGTCACCAACGGGGAAAATATCAAATCCACTTCACTAAAAGCATACGCAAGTCCTCAAATCCGATGAAACACAAGTTGAAAGGTCGCATTGCCATTGTGTATTCTAACCAGGTGTTCCAACCACTGAGGATATATTGTACTGACTCAACTCTTTTGCTCAACCTGTTTTTATGTCAATCCACACAATATTACTGAGATTAAAAGGTTTTGCAGTTATAATTAATTTACTGTAAGTTTCATCGGATTAATATAACCATTGACTATGCAGGTGTATAGTCAATGATATAACGCCTTACGGCCTAATAATTTGGTGATATATTAAAAATCAGCTATTTTATATTGAAACAAATGCAAAAGTGTTCATACAATGTAACATAGAGCATCTTGGACTATGTTGATATTAAGAATGAGAATTATTCTTAATTCAATCATTCATTACAATGCAAGCTATAATCCTTAGTGTTAAGTGGTTTTACACATAGAATATACACTCACCATTTACACTCAATAGTGGTAAATTGGCAGTAAAATTACTTAACTCACTTAATGTTTTGATATTTTACACTAAATACCATTAAAGCCTTAAATCTGAAATAATCATGACCCATGTTGATTTCATTCAAAACTCAAACCACTCCAAGACAAAAAATTAGATGATATTAGTCTGTAACTTATGACTCGATTGGATGGCCTTGAAAAAAAAACAACTAAACAGTCACTTCTAAAAAAACATTATTTTCCCCTGCATGTAATATCATACGAATACTTGTTACTAGTCAATTATTTAGAAATATCGAGTTTTTATTACGCTCTTACCGTGTTATCTAATTACAACAAACAATTAAACCATAAATACTTTATTTATTAAGTCAGTGATACAACTTACTCTATTTAGAACCTTCAGGGAAAAGTATGTCAAATGAATTGAACAGATTCACGTATGAGAATCTCATGTAGATTTGAAGAGAAACTCACATTATTGATGCAGCCGCACTAATTACTGTAATTGTTCTCAAAATCACTCCTGACTGCCTAGAGTGTATAGGCATTTGGTAATGAGGGAGTACAAGGCAAATGTAGAACATGTATGGTTTGTAGGGTTACATGAAAAACTAGTGTTGTTTTCTCGCAATTACAGATGAAAAATCTTCTTTTGTAAACCGTTAGATTTGATTAAAAAATAAGTTATTAACATTACTTCATTTAAATGGAGGTTGTAGGTTTTACAACGAATCCAAAAATGAGTAACAGTAATAATTTTTAGCTATAATTTTATGTGTTTTATATTTCGTCTGATTTTGATAATTGTATTAGTTTTTGAGTATGGAAAAAATTACCTTTAAGATTGAATGGACAAAACTTAAAAAAAAACTTATAGAACTTGGAATATGTCTTTGGCAACTTAAATGTATGCCATTTCAATAAAAATGTAATTTTTCATTCGATCAATTTCCATATTGATTCTAAACAAAACAATATACAGTGAGTTTAGTGAAGGCTGGATTAAAATTGGATGAAAAACATGACATCCAAATAAACCAGGATATCCAATTAGGTTGATGGTTTTTGCTTAAAGCGAGCAGGAAACTACCCTACATAGCTTAAAAAAGGGAATGTATGCAATCACTTATTGTTTTTTAACTGTTTAGCTACTATCCTAGTACTCCTTTTTCATTTATTAATAATTAACTTTATATTAAACATTATCACACAAAAACGCCACAAATAATTAACATTATACGGTTTGAATTATGAGAACTGAAGATTAACTGGTTACTGTGTAACAAATAAAGAAAGGGCTCTTCTTATGGATCGCTTTAAGCTGTCATATCTTCCTTCAAACCAGTTGTTTGAAAACAGTTTATCGAGTTTTTTATTTCATTAGGTTCTAGACGTCAAGTTCTTGTAGTTTTTATCAAGAATTTCATCTTCTAATTGTGAAGGGAATACTTTGTTTACAGGTTAGAACATATGGGCTGTTTCAAAAATTAATTGTTTTTACGTTCTTTCCAAGGTACTAATCGTAATAAGATACTCATGGTTTATTTAAGTGTAAAACTTCAATTAAATTGACATTTGCTCTCCAATCAAACTATTTTGACTGACTAACTCCACAGTAAGGTTTTAACGCTCGCCAAACACATTTCGATATCTCTTTATTACGAACTGTAAGCTATAAAATACTTAGTTTCCATCAACAGTTCCATCATAGAATGTTAGTTTATCGAGTTTTTTATTTCATTAGGTTCTAGACGTCAAGTTCTTGGAGTTTTATTCAAGAATTTCTTCTTCTAATTGGATAAAGAATACTTTGTTTACAGGTTAGAACGTATGGACTGTTTCAAAAATTAATTGTTTTTACGTACTTTACAAGGTACTAGTCATAATAAGAGAATCATGGCTTACTTATGTGTAAAACTTCAATTAAATTGACATTTGTTTGGTGCCCAATCAAACTATTTTGACTGACTAACTCTATAGTAAGGTTTTAACGCCTATCAAACATATTTTGATATATCTTTATTACGAACTGTAAGCTATAAAATACTTAGTTTCCATTGTCAACTGTTTTTTATATCATAGAATGTGCTTTTTCCACTCGTGTCATACTTATGGGATCAAAAGTATATTTTTATCTGGTTCTGTAATTGCATTTCTCTTCAGTAACCTCTCTAAAAGCATGTGCAACTCCCCAGATCCAATAAAACACAAGTTAAAAGATTACATTGACATTCTGAAATGTTATCCATTGTGTATTTTTCTAAGGTAGTATAAACAAACCACTAAGGTAACTATTGCATATTTTAGTTGTCAATGCTACTTTATTTTCCTTATCACCACTCTTATGTCAACTCTACATTTACAGAACTGATATTTCAACACTAAAATTTAAATTTAACGGTACAACGAACCAATTTTATAAACTATACTTTGAGTGGTACATTAGTTGCTTTGTAATTTCATATTTGTTAACATACTATTTTGCAAATGAATAAAAAACAATTATTAAATACTTTAGGACAATCGAACTCAAAACCCAGTATGATTAAAACACATTAAATGTTACATATAATCACAAATTTTAATTTTTAATCATATTTAAGTAACTGAAGAGATAAATTTCTGAAAGTTAGAAACTTGATAGTATTATATAAAAATATTTTGCAAACCTATGTAGGCTAACTAAAATATGATTAAATCCTTCAAGCGAGCATTTATTTTTACCAAATATGTACGATTCAATTTCCAACTGTGGTAACACATCCCGTTTAAATAAACGCATCCTTTAAAGTTATGTTTATCTAACGATATCACAAGCGAAGAAGAAGAATAACGAAATTTGTTTGACAATACGTCCACGGAAACTAAAACATTTACATTGCATTAGGTACCTCGGTTAGGAAACGTACCTCGGTTTCATTTTGAGTTTATACTATAGTTTGGGGAAATGGTTTGTGGACAACTGTACAACTTAGGCAATTCTTTTTTGAAATATTTTAACTTGTTTCAGTAGAGTATACCAACTGTCGTACTTTTAACAATGGTTAATAAAATTGTTCCCGAACCATCATATTTTCAATCTATCTCTCAACACTACACTAGTTAATGTAAAGTATTTGTATAGTCAGTAGCATGTTTTTTTTCATTACTATACTAATTCATATAAGGAAATAGAAAAACAGTAGCATAATGTTTTAGGACATAAAAATAAACAAAACTAGAATAGATGTGTTAAAACATAACAATAAAACAATATAAGCAAGACCCGGAAGTAACTGTCTCGTTGTATTGTGTTCCTATACAAGGAGAAAACCCTCTGTTGAAAACCTTTAGGTAAACCAAAATTTCTTTTTTAAGTTTTTTTAATAAAAGGAAAACTATTTCACATTGTCAAACCAGCTACACAAAAATTCCAAATCTACTACGTTTTTCAACAAAATCCAACAATAAACTAAGTTTTGCAACAACAATCGACGTCTTAATCCAATGACGTCATATTTCAACAATAGCCTTCCCCACCAATAGGCGAGCAGTAGCGCTGGAGTACCTCAGGGGTCTGCGCTGGGTCCCATACTGTTCTCGCTCAGGATATCACAGATTATCAGTATTAGCTGACTTGACATTGTGCATCAATTGGTCACCGCCAGCCGCCCAGGCTTACGTACGTGCAAGTGTTGTGAGCGTGTTTTTGGTTTTTTAGTTTAGCACATTTTGGATTTATTATTTATCTAGGTAAGTGTGTGTTTTGTTAGTTTGATGTGAATTAGTCTTTGTGTAAAAAGGTTGTAAATTACGTCGATGGAAGAATATTTGGTTTTGAAAACAAGGTTTTCGGGTTTTAAGACAATAAACACAGTGGCTGAAGTATTAGATACATTTTAGCAAATATTCTCTATTTCTATATAGGAATTATGGTATTACTGGAGGTCTCATGGTAAGACCTAGACCCTGGACCGATTCAATTATTTCAACTCGAGTAAAATCCATCCGATTTCAATGACATTTGTTGCAAAAGTGTAAACCTACGTTCAAAGAGTTTGAGAACCATAATGACCGAACCTTGGGATTGGGATTGGCTTTTCACATTTTCCCCCTTAATTTATAAACCCTTTTCCAATTTCTTTATCACATTAATTTAATGGAGAATGTTGATTATAGTAGTTTGCTTCTTTGTGGATATATGATGTTGATCACATTTTGAACAGAGTAATAATTTATTTTGTACTAAGGTAATGGTGTTTTAATAAAAAATAATATTTATTAGATACCCTTTGGCAGTAAGTACTAATTAAAAATATTGTTATGCAAATAAGAAAGATTTGATATTTGTAATTATATATTTTAATGAAATAATCCAAACGGAGATTTGCTTAGACTGCAGGTTTGCTACAGCGGGGGTGTTATTTCCAGTTCATTGGTTCATTGTGTGTCATTTTCATTGAATGTAAAGCCATAGTTAAACCAAGGGGGAAAATAGTTAAAATTCATAATAATTGTGATTTCGGTGACTTAATAAGAATCAGTATAAAAATGAATCTAACTGTTTAAAAATATTTTTTTTATATGGTAAACAATAAGAACCACATTGAACGTTACAAAAAAAATGTAGTTAACCTACGCCAATGATGAATTTTTTATTATGTAAAACAAAAATGGTTACCTAATAGTTTTAGATTCAATAACAAACTTGACCAATTCTTATTCAACTTTAACTGAAACATAACAAGTTTTATGCTTAAGACAACGTAAACATAAAGGGTCAATTTTGTTATTAAATTTCCTTCCAAAAGCCAATTTTTTTTAAAACCTGTCCTACGAAAAGAAAGTTTTTGAAGCCATATTTGTCACATTACCTCACATGTAGACTATAATCCACGTTTTACACATTGGAGTTTAAATGCAAAAAACATTTACACATTTAGTTACGTCAGAACCAATTAAAAGCTTTTAAACTCTTATTGGATTTTGCGATTTATAAGGAAATCTAGTAACAGCAATAAATCCTTTGATCCCCTTTGGCTGTCTCAATTTCTACCAGAGTTGATAATCTTTATTCCATCAACGGCAAATGTTTTTGTAATCCTAATAAATCAAATAATGTTTTAATAATTGAATCTATTTCATATGATCTAGTGTGTAAAAGGTTGACGCGATTGGAAAAATGTAGTAAAATCGTTTTATTACAATATCGTAAATTCAATTTGAACTGTAACATTCTTTTCGAAAGGCATATGTTAGATATTGAAATAGGAACATCCCAAATAAGACTAAGAAGTCTATAAAACATTTATTTTATCTCTTTATTTTGAGAAAAGTGATTGCAAAGCCCATTTTAGACTTATTGAGCATTATAATTTGTAAAAAACAGGTTAGGATTAACTGTTGTATATTTCAATCCAAGCATAAATACTAGCTAAAAACCTCTGCCATCATAAACAAAGTTTAAAATATTAAATAGCTAATGACAACATTTAGAAAACCCAATCTTTATGAGTATGACCAAGAATAGTAAACTTCATATTTTAATACTAAAAATAGTAAATTGTAATGCATCTGTCTAATAGTCGTATACATTCAATCCTTTAAAGGCAAACTCTACATTTATGGTGGTTATAAGTTTTACACCATTTTCGTAAAAGCAAAATTTATTTTTTGATAAAACGACTTTGCTTCTGACTGGGGAATTTAAAAAGGAAAACATAATGTTCCCAAAGTGAGAATATTCTCTAACGGCTACCTTTATTGATGAAGTTTACTGGGATTTTTTATCGAAGAGAATCGACTTTCAAAGGGACCACGGTCTTGCAGGCGTTGAACAGTTTGATAAAAGAGTGCCTTAATTGGTTTTAAGCTTTGACATAAAAGAATAAAGGGCTTGTATCAAGTAGCTTTCAAGCCCTGTCCAGTCCTTAGCTAAAATAGCTGCATACGTAGTTCACCGTTTTCTAATGTGTTTTTTTTTTATTTCACGCATTTATTTTTTAGAACTGAAATTACTAACAACATTTTATTCAGCTATTATAAATAAAGGTGGAATATAATTTATGTAGTATGGTAAAGGTAGACTAAATATCTAATAAGTTGTTAGTTGTGGAAAAGTTACCGATCATCAAATAACTTTATTTGTATAAAAGGCTTCTCAAATTCAAAATTTATGTAATTTCTTTGTTGTAGTCGCATTACATAACAAAGTTTGGTTGTACAAAATGTTTTCCTTATCACCACATTTCAACGGATACTCATTATAAAACCACGCCAATATAAAAAACTATTTTCAATTGAAATGCTAATAAAATGTTGTAACTAAAAAAAACTCAGGTTGAGTACGGATTTTAAAATTGCACTGCCACAAACTGTTATGATAATATGAAATCTACCACGAATTAGGCATTCCACTGATTGTTGAAACATTTTTTCATGCTTCTATTTACAACAGTATATTTGGAAAGCAAGATTTAAAATATAAATATATTAATGCAAAAACGCTTAAAACATTCTATACCTCCAATATTGTTTTATATAATAGTGAACTAGAAATAAAATTACTCATACGCAATTCCAAATCAAATTAAAAAAAAATTACTACAATTAATATTGTCGAATCTCTTTATCAAATTAGGGCCTTCTAACAACTATTTGTTACCTCAATACATTTAACTGATGTTGTCTGGGTAAGTGAACATAAAGCTTATGAATAGATTATAACCTCCTAAATGTAGCGCTAACACGAAATGACTCATTGTAAAGGTGCTAAACTGTTGCGGAGGTTAATACATATTATATAAACTGCCACTAAGTTGGGTAGTAACCGATAAAACTGGTGAGAACATTCCTTAATTGTTTACAAAAGCATAATACGCAGCTAATAAGCACAATTTGTAAAACTAGTGCACCTGTTGCTCGAATTCGAGCAATTTCAAAGTATTCCAGGCATAATTTTCGATTACCTACTTAAAAGAGTCAACTTAAAAATTATGTAATCAATCACTCCACAGTTATCAAAACTGAAAACGAACGCTCAATCCACTCTAGTCGTCGAAACTGAAAACGAACGATTTTTTGTGTATCATAAGTGTTTACTATGAACAGCTGTAATTGATACAAATAATTCGTCTGTTAAATAAACAAAATCTTTTCTTCATAAGAAATACATTGGGATTTTGATGGCCTGTGGGGCAAAAGCCCGAGGACTTTTGCTACAGGAATTGGTGGAAGGGAGCGTCTACACAAAAAATACTTAATTTTGACACATCATTTTTTTAAATCCGTCTATTATTAACGGAGGAGTAGTGTTTCGTAGAAATTGCCTTCACGTATTATAAGGATAATTTGCTTGCTTTTGTGTCAAAACCCTTAATTTTCACAACTATACCCAAACACGTTAAGTAATAATCCCCTGGTAATTAAACCTTTTACATTTATAACTTTGCTCACAAACAACCGTCGTCGAAAATACTCAATTTGTTATCGAAACATAAATATCGATAAAAATCACGTTGTTTGCATCAAACAGAGACAAAGTCCATTCAGTAAATGCCACTGTTAAATTGGTGTTTATTTCACGCATCAAAGCACGAGTGACGCCATCCATTCACATCAATTATTTGAGTCAGTTTATTGACTGTTTCCAACAATAAACACGTTTTACATTTGATTTTATTTGTGTTAGCCCTTTTGAAATAATTGCCCGCATATATACACTAATTATTGTTCAGGTAATGTGTGTTTCATGTGCAGTAATGTTAATTTTTGCTTTGAGGTTGATTTTTTTATAATTACGTATCTCAATTAGTTTCATTAATAATTAGTCCACTCTTGTGTTTCAGTATTAAAATCAATGTGTAATAAATTTAGGAGTTTTTCATTTTTTTATTCAAAATGAACTCTTTTTTTGTTAAAAATATTTTCAGACACAATCCGTCAATGTGTAATCTGCTATTACAGGTATTTTTATCATTAAGCTACTTGATCTTAATGATAAAGTTAATAGAAGATTTTTAGGATGGAAAGATTAAGTAGAAAGTAAATTACAATTCAAATCATATGCACTATTAGTTGAGTGGTTTGGACAATACTGTTTTTAGAAGTGGGGCGATTTGCACATAACCAAAATGCTTTGTTTTAGAACCTAAAATAACTACCCAATTTATCCTGAACCCACAACTAAATGCACCACCTAAAGCACTAAGATTTCAATGTACGCTCACACAGACAATCTCTTCAACCACCCCAATGACTGTATTTCTGTAAATGTACCTTATTCTTACAATTACTATGACACTAGTGGTGATCACTCAAATAGTTCTTAGTTAAATGATCCAAAATTTTCTTTTTTAGTATTTCTACTGCTATTTGAGACGCCTTTCTCGCTCTTTCTTATTTTCTATTTAGACCGAATTCTTCATAAACCTGAGGTATTACAGTTGATTGCTAAATAACGTGGAAAATTACTCCATTTTTACTGTGGTTATCAGTTATCTCTAAATCTTAGTTATACTATTACTTTCTTGTGTGTATATCACTCTTTTTCAACATCCTAATAAATAATGGTCATTTTGAAATTAATTCCAGGTGACCTACCAATCTTTCTTTTTTATTTAATTTTTATTTATCTTCATTACATTGATTCAAAGACTTTGATTAACTGTCATCTTAAAATATAGAGCCTAAATTACTCTTAAAAATGTATCCAACTTCGTTTTCCACGTTTATCGTCATCCCATCTCTTTAAATTCTCCGTATCTAGTTTTTCAAGTATTTTTTGGACGCTAAAACGTTTTACAATACCCCCTTTTCCGAGATTCCCTATACTCTCAACATATTCCATCACGACTCTTTTATCATTTGTTTGATTGATTGTAAGAGGGTGGACTCATGGTCCAAGCACGTCAACCGAAGCTTATTGTGCATCCCACTTGCCACTAACTGGGTAAGCCTATGCCTGTGTCCCTAACTAGGTGCAGGAGCTTTTGCCCAATGTTAGCGTCTGGTTCCTCACCTGGCTGCTTTAGACCAAACAGAGCCCTTCTCCTAGCCCGTAGTCCAGAATAATGTGTTTTGCAGTCTCATCGGACTGGTTACAAAGTCAACACTCCTGCTTGTCATTGACAATTCCTAGAGTGTGGAGATGTTTCCTGAAATGGTCGTGTCCAGTGATAAGAGCATGTACCTGCTTGACCTGCCCTCTCCCCAGCTTTAGCAGCCAGCGACTGAAGAGGGTGATAGGTTCTAACAACAGTTTTTTGCCAAGTGATTGTCCAGGATAATTACGCCAACGCTCAAGCTGTTGTCCCCTGGACCATTTGTTGATTACATGTTAAGCGGCCGCTTTGCTGATGCCACAAAATGGCTCTGGTCAAAAGAGTGGCATGCTCGCACTTTTTTGCCAGCTTGTCTGCACTCTCGTTGCCGCCAATGCCTACATGGCCTGGGACCCAGCCGAGAGCTACAGAGTTCTGTGATGCAAGTCTGCAGAGGGTGTTGAAACAATCCCAGACCTAGTTTATCATTTACATCTTACACAAACACATTTTGAAAAGATTTTTGACAAATTTCAAAACATTTCCATGTATTGTTTCAGAATGAAGACCTCATAGTGCAGCACTCAGCATGGTCGGCTACTTGTGGGCCGTCGTCGCGGTGGGCGTCTACATCGCCGTCACAAATGCCCAGAACAGCCAGATCTGTCCGCCCAGAAGTGAGCTGGAGCCCTGCGCTTGCACACCCAAGAAGAACGGTCTGGACATCCTCTGCGAGTTCACCGACCTTCAACACATCAGCAAAGCCATGGCGGTGCTGAAGGGGAAGCCCTCCATCGTCATCTTCTACCTCAAGCTGAGGCACAACAACCTTCCCAAGCTGCAGAGCTTCGTGTTTCTCGGGGTCGACATAAGACATCTGACCATTCACAATAGTTCCTTGTCGGTCATTGAGGAGTCCTCTCTTAGCTCTATGGGTGAGGATAAACATTTTTTGAATTTTTTATCTTTTAGCGAATTTCCCATATAGGGAATAAGCTATTACCGTAGTACTCATGGTAAGACCTGGACGCGGGACCGATTTTTTTTTCGTTTTGAGGTCCCTAGAGGCCATAAACACTATCCGTTCAAATTCATATATATATATATATATATGTGTCCGTCAGCACGATAACTCGAGCAAAAATTATCCGATTTTGATGAAATTCGGTACAAACGTGTAAACCTACGTTTATTCGAACGAGTTCGCAATCCAGCATGATCGGACCATGGGAACAGGGGTTAATGGGGGGTTTTATGGGGTAAAAATGGGTTTTTCCCATTTAGCAGCAAACCTAAGCACTCGTTAAATCTAATGTTATTCAAATAGGGAATAAACAACCTATGTCTTATTTATGGAAATATTTTAGTAGAAATATAATCAGACAAGTTGAAATTCGCTTAGTCTGCAGGTTTGCTGCGGCGGGGGTATTTTAAACTTTAGCGGTTTTTACGTTTTTACAACGTAGGGTAGGCCCTAACGTAGGATAAGGAGGAGGTAGAATGATTTGTTATTAGTTTTGCTCTCCAAAGATCACCATTAACCAGAAGCTCTTCGTTCTCTAAAAAACATTACCATATAAACTTGTTTTAGCTTATTCTAGAGGTAATCAATCCTTTGGGGTAACTGTAATCCTTGGGAAAAAGCAACAACCACGGATTACAGTGGCATCAAAAAGGTATTTAACCTCTAGAATAATAGTGTTAAGTAATCAGGAAGTCAGCACCTCAAACTTAAACTGGTATAGCTATACAGATTTTATCTTAACATTTCTAGCAGCTGCATATATTTTCAATATTCAAATAAGGGGATGGATTGAATTTTGGAACATTTTCAATTTTAACTTGATAATATATATTTATCCTTAGTTAACTTTGGTCAGGTTGTTAACTAAGCAAAAAGATAGTTGGTTAAAATAAAAAACTAAATGCAGTTACGTAATGTTATATAAATAAAGATTTTAAGCTTTGACGGAAAACAACTACCACTGTTAGACTAACTTATTTATTTTTGAAAAAGTATATTTCTGAAACTTTCAAACCGAATAGAAATTGAGAGCTAAATTTAGCACAAAGTTAATTATGAAAAGAGCAAACAAAAATATTTCCATTTGAACCTTCTAAAAAGGTGCCCGATTTCGTTCAAAGAGGTACTCAGAATCAAAAGCAATCACATAATATTTCTGACTCACAGATATATTGCATCTGAGGAGTGGTTTGTAGCTTTGAGACAAGACATGATTCGATTATGATGCCATCAACCGACGTATGGCAGACACATTCGCATGAATCTACATTTTAATGGACTGTCATTGTATCCATACTCATGTCATTACTTCCACATGTTATGTGCATATTGATGGAGTTAATAATACACATGGATTAACTTAAAATAAAAGTGAAAATCTAGATTTTGTAAAGTTTTTGGTATGCCACGTCAATATTATTTTTGAGTTGTTGCTTCTGATTAATCAGAAATTTTAGTTCACTTTTTGGAAATTTATGGACTTATGTTAAACTTTAGGCTGTATATTTTAATACTGTATTTTAATTGAGCATTGTACTTTATTTTATCATTGAACGAAATAAGAAAGTAATTGTTTTAGAAAGTTTGAAGTAGGTTTTTGAATCAGAACTAACACAGCATATTAATCACGACATCCATTTCTTATTCTGTTGCATCATATAAATAATGTCGTGGTTACGTTTGGCGTTGTATTTATTACCTAAAACGAACTGAAATAATGCAGTTAATGAAAATAGTTATCATCTTTCAGTCGTTTAAACAGACATTTTAAGATCACATTGATAAAGAGTAGATTAGTATACGATTTCACAACCACTAAAGTTATTCAATAACAGATCCTGTGTACAGAAAAAAATAACTTCTACCAGAAAATCTATTGAAAGTATCGATTCGATTGGAAAAGCCTCGTTAGACTTATTTATTATCAGCAAGTTTGGTTAGGTTAGGTTATAACATTTTCATTTGATCCCTCAAACAATTTTTGCTCATCCTGCCCCCCCCCTTGGACGGCCACCACAATGGCAACTTGTCTAACCCCTTCCCTTACTCGCAGCACAATGGAACCAGACACTGGTACCTGGATGGCACTCGCCCCACCAAGCCTCTGGCTGTAAAATGAACTCTAAATGAATTTTAGGCAACTAAAACTCGGCCCTGTACCCGATACGTTGTGATACAACTAGTTTTCCACGTATGCAAACCCTTGCGAAACTCTATACCACATTTTATGTAGATTGGCTAACTGTTAAAACACATTCAATAAAACTTTCCCTCACAATGTGTTTAACAACCTATGTTTTGCAGGTAAAGGACTTACTCAGCTGGATCTGTCCCAGAACAAGTTAAATCTAGTCCCGTCTCCAGCGTTCCGCAATCTTCACCACCTTCTAATACTGAACATGAACCATAACCGTGTCAACGCGCTGCACTCCAAGGCTTTCGAGGGGCTGGACACCCTTGAGATTCTCACCCTCTACGAGAACAAGATCACCAACATCGAGAGCGACGCGTTCAAAGGATTAGACAAGTAAGTACACTCCACCATCTGCACGCTTCTACGGCCTGGGATCGCCGAATTGAATTTTATTTTTACAAAATGGATTTTTTCACCATTTATGCATGGGGTTTTAGTTTGCCCATTTTACATCTACTGATGACCAAGTGTGTAAAGTAGGATTGGATTGTTGAATCATATATTAAACATACTCCCTTAGTAGATTATGGATCAGCTGAAGACAATTTTATTGTTAGTAGTGGTGAGTTGTAGAGGTCGTCTTTCAGTTTACAATTTATTTCTTGTTATTTCAGTCATTTAAAACCTCGTTTCATTGATTCGTACCAAATGAAACGATCTAATCCTAAACAATAACTCGTCCCCTGATTGAATAACCAAACAGTAAAGCGATAATCATGAATTTAAGTTAATAGAAACAAAATTTTGTCGATTTTAGTACACAGTGTCACCAACATGAACTAGACACGAAAAACGAGATTCAAATTTTTACAGCGGTATAAGAAATCTACTTGTGTTGGTTAGTCTATGGTTGAAAGTTGTCGGTTTCATCTTCAGGAATACTACTACACGTTAATAGTTTTATATTGGAGACAGTTGCCCTTGTTAGTTGTGTTATTGGTTGGCTAAAGTAAAAGCTGATTTTAGTCAGTAGTAATATTATATTTCATTATTAGCACGTAAAGTGACTCTTTTCAGTCACTCTCTTTAAAACTAGTTTAATTTTAACCTTGGTTTCTTCCTGTTCGTGTACCGGTAGTGTTGCGTACCCTTGTTAAGCCTATCCCACCAAAAGTAATAATTTAATATATGCCACCATGTTGACCGAATTTAAGTGTCGTGTATTTAACTATCAACGAAGCTCAATAGCTGATTTAACGTGATTACTGGACTGAAGTGTTTGAACATGTAACACTATAATGCTACAACGCGGAACTAATGGCAGATAATTAGTAAAAGAACATACAATTTTCCGTTTAAAAAAATAATATAAAAACCTCCCCTTCACCTTAATCCTTTTTCCATTGAGGCTTGTGGAAATTATTAGGTAACGTCCTGGATTTTTGTATTCCACAAGCATTGCAAATACTGCTTACCAATAACTGTTACGGATCACTGCCCCTTCCACCGCAGTGATCAACGTGGTGGCCTTCCACAACTAGTTGCCACCTCCGTATTTGTCTTCGAATTTATTTTATTTCATTCTATTATTAGTGTACGTTATTTAGACTAGCGTTAGCGTTTACGTGTGCAAAACTATTTATACAATGTGATAAACCATCTTCCATCATAAATAAATTACACATGAGCATGTTCAGCTTTAGTTTCACAGTGAAAGTTGTTGGAAACAATAAAATACTAAGAGAAAACCGAGCTAAACAATTAGTTTCATACATTGATTAGTTTTTGTCACGGAAACAAACATGAATACTCAAACTAGCTCTCATAACTACTCTTGGGGCCCTGAACGGTACTCTGTAAAGCCATTATATTTGCATATGACATGAAAATACCATCAATGCTGCAAGCATCCGTTCATCTTAATGACTGTTACCAGGTGTGCTTGGAAGTGCTATTGCTTGTTTGCTCAAACTTTACTGGAGTTTAGTATTCACAGTGTAAACTTTGCAGTATGTATAATAGATATACCAAGTATGTTTAAACACCCCATAGTTTTCTTTTTCATTTAATGTAGAAATTATCATTAACTAAGTAAACATGAATAAATTAAATAGTGACTGAATAATTAATAAAGGAGATGTGAATGAATATTAAACATTAGGGAATGCAGTGATGCTGGTAAACTTCCTTTATAATATGTTGAATGTAAATTTAAACGAAAACCGTTTATTTTCTAGTCGAATGTTTTGCTACAGTTAAATTGTAAACAAGAGACAACACTGTTAATGAAAATTAATGTTAAATACGCTACATTTTTATAATTGCAGCCTGACTTAGGTAGGTAAACCAATATTTTATGGTGTGTATTTAAAAAGCAAGACTTTTTTTCTAATTTGTTAGTTTTATTCGCTTTATAACTGTCTCAAAAATATATCTTTGAAAATCAAAAGGATATTGAATTATTCATGTTTCCTTGAAATCGAAGTGTATAAAGATGTACAATTTGTACACTGGGACCTTCGTTCACATTTAAAACGGTTTATAAAGAAACTTAGCCAGAAACACTGGAATTTTAAAAGAACTCTCCAGAAATAACACTAAGCGTAGGGGTGATGGCCTCAAGGCCATAAATCGGAATTTTGAATTAACATTCGTCACTCCGTTGGCACATAAGCTTTCAAATGACACCTCAATCATATGGAAGTTAAGTAGAACGGGTGAAAATAAGGGACTCGCATGTAAAACACTATCTCGCCCCGAAATGTGACTTTCGTGAAGAGTATTGAACGATACTTTTTATCACGATGAAAAAACTACTTCATCAAATTTAAATAAATTATCTGATATTTCCTAATCTATACATTTTTCCAATCCAAACACAAAACGGCTGTACAAATAATTTTAGTGTAAAATTCAGCTTATTGAACATCAACCACGCTTTAGTTTTTGTTTTCTGTTTGTTTGTCCTTTTGAGCTAACCGGGAACTCCTGTTGTAACTTTGTTGATGTCAGGCAATGTATTTGTTTGTGTAGCGAAAGTGATGTTTATGTCAGGAAAAGTTAGCTGATCACTATTTGTTTTTGGTGTTGGAAATTGACGATCTCAGCTGTATTGAAATGGGCTATTTTCGAATACAAAGTGATGAAAAGGGGTCTTACAGAGTAAAGAGGTAAATATCATGATTCTCCCCCCCCCCCCCTATCACTATAAAAATACATATAAGTTAAGTATTAAATAAATTATATATTTGAACAGATCAGAGCTGATACTTTCGCCACAAAAGTGAAACAACCCCCAACAATTGATGATTTCAACAACTTTCAACCTTCCAAACATCTTCTTGACTAATTATTTCATCTTCCAGGAAGCTAAAGCGACTGAACCTCGGTGGTAACAAACTGACGAGTGTTCCGCAAGAAGCGTTCTCAATTCTTGACACTCTCAAGAAACTGGAACTTCAAGAAAACAGCATCACGTCAATAACCGAGGGGGACTTTGAGGGTGAGCGTTTTGATATCAGAGCTAGAGGTCTTGTTAAATTGTAACTTTTCTAAGATCTTTGCATCTTTCAAAAGCAAAACTAGATATCTTTGTTGTTTTCTGTCCCATGTATTGGTTTCTCCGATTTACAATTCTCAGAGCTATTAAGAGGAGGCAGATTTTCAAAAGTCTCCTATTACCTCTTGGTGGCAGAGTGTAGCGTCAGTTCATAGTGTTTTGTTTTGTGTTTATTTGTATAGGTATTTGTATAGTGTAGTGTACTAACCAATTTTATGTTCAGTATTTTATATTTTTTAAATTAATTTTAACTCTGTTTTTTATTGGGTACTTGATTTTTCTATTATTGTGTATAATGTTTGGGGTTTTTAATTTGTTATTTTTGACTGGCCTACATCTTGAGGGCTAATTATAACTAATAATTTTCCTTTAATACGAAAAGGTTAATCCACCACCAGAAACATGGTGTAGTTTTAAACACAAGAACCGTTTGGAAAAGTCAAAAAAATAGTAACATTTCAGAACCAACGTCAAAATAAGTTTTAAAAACTCTCTCTCTCTCTCTCTCTCTCTCTAACTACCGTTGCATAAAAAGGGAAGGAAACAAAACAAATAGTTGTTAAACTATGAGATGATGAGATTTATTATTTTAATGAGGAATTACTTACACAATTACCTATCTTTAAGAAAAGTCAGTCGTATTGTATTTTGTTTTCACGATCCCGATTGTTTATAATAATCAGAAATTAACCTACTCTCATTTGACTACGCAAAATTTCATTTTTCAGGGCTCCACAACCTGGATTCACTAGGTCTGGCCCACAACCATCTGAGGGAGGTTCCAGCAAGAGTGTTCTCACATCTAACACAACTCAACTCACTAGAGCTAGACGGCAACCAGATCACTCACATTGATGTTGACGCATTCGTTGGACTTGAGGGTAAGAAAACTAGCTTTAAAATATCTGAAATATACAATATAAAAAAACGGTACCTGTGTAAAAGTTTTGCATTTTAATAGTTTTTGAAACTCGTTTCTTGAACAAAACAAATAACGCAATACACTTTTTTTTCAAGATTATGTTTGTTAGATTAATTTATTAATTAAGTACAACTAATAACTTACAGTATATTAAATCGTTTGCCTGTATCCCTATACCCAACATTTTGATTACCTGCCTTAGGCAACAATGATCAATAGGTAGCATATGTATATTCTCATATAATGTGTTGTCCCTTGTTTTTTAACTGTTAAACATCCAACTGAAGGGTCCTCCGTAGGATTACAATCCACATTTAAACTGTTAAAGAAAGTTAGTCAGCATCACTGTTTCTTTAAAAGCGAATTCTAAAAATAATACTTTAGGGGGTGAGGCAATAAAGGGAATTAGGGTTACCTTTTTAGTTCCTTTATTTATCATTCATCCCTCCGCAAGGTCTTCATTTTAAAATTTACACCTCCATCATAAACATTCTTTAAGTACAGTGGCTGAAAAGGGATGTTATAGAAAAAGCTCTTTTTGTATTTACGGCAATGTTTAGGCAAAATATAGACTGTTGGTAATCAAACCTAGCGTCGTGTGCAATGTTAAATGTATATCACGAATATATTTGGTATGGTACTAAGGTCTATCAGTCTAAGGAGAACAGGGCTGCTCGGGTCAGAATTGACGTCAGCTAAAGTAGACACATTAAGTAGGCAGTTAAAAATCATTAGAAAAAAATACTTTATACAATGTTTGTCTGAGTAGTCTAGTCAGTCATATCACGAAAGCACCCAAAATGCCTAAAACGTCAGTATCAACGGAAGATTATAATTGATCGTAATAAAAGTACCCATTCTAATTCGTCCACTATTCTCAGACCACCTGACAAAACGCCTATGAAATTACTACTTAAAATCAGGCAGAAAGTCGTGCCTTTCAGCAATATCGTTTATGCCATTTCACCGATAAGAGCCCCACTTTTATGGCTAACCGGGTAGCTGCAGTGCAGATAAAATATTGACGTACGTTTTTACTGTTAGGCGAATTTATGGCTGGGCGTAATGCGAAAAAGCTAGCAACGGGCCATTTAGCAGTTCTGGGCCGATAAAACAATTGAAATAAAGATAAAACGGTTCTCTGGAGTTTTCAAAACGTTCTGAAACAGTAGCTTTGGACTCTTACGTACTGTATATGATTTGTAATTTACCTAAATACTTCTTCATAGTGTGTTTATTGGTTTGTTTTTAATAGTAGCCTATATGTATTATAATATGTTATAAAACGTTTCCATAAATGTATGTTTGCAATAGGTAATGGAAAAACTAAAATTAGAACGTGGCAATTAAATGAATCGTTTACTGCAGCAACCCCAAAGCCAAATTTTTTATTTTTACTTTTTATACACAAATTGAAATACATCGTTTTGTGCAGAAGTTACACAACTGCGAAAAAATTTAGTTATGGAGTTTCTTAAATAAATGATTCGCTAATTATGGCTTCTAAAGTGTGATATCTACTTTAGATATTCAATCAAAGTCCGTAGTTATTCAAGTATACAATAGTATTGTGTTCAAGTATACATTGAAATTTAAAATATTTTAGTATCCAAGCATCAACCTGGCGTACCCAGGGAAACTGCACGGCTGTCAAAGCGAATTTGTTCTGAGTTCGTGAACATTCTTTTGGGACAGCGTCTTAGTTCCGGGTCCATACCGATAATCTGTTCTAAAATACAACGTACATTAAGTCTCTTACTTTTATGAAGTAGTGCCTTTCGGAGACGCATCTTTTACACAAATGCCGAAAATGCTTTTCGGAGTGCATGGTCGTGCAGAATCTGGAACACCTTGTAGCATCTGCTGTAGCATTTGTTTGGGATACGTGTCTATCGTAAGGTCTTTTTGAGCCTAGAGAGGTAGTTTTGAAGTTATGCCTGACCACACATCCTTTCTGATAAGTGAATTAGTGCCTTGACCCAACATTTATTTCGGTGGAACGCTTTTCGAAGTCTATACTCTGTTGACCCTAGCTCAATCAAATACCACAACCTAACCTCCCAACTGTTTACAGAGAACCTGCAATATCTCCGCCTCGGCGACAACAACCTTCACGAGATCCCTAGTGATGCTTTGCGTCGTCTGCATCGTCTCCGTCATCTGGACCTGAGGGCCAACAACATCACAGTCATCGCCGAGGACGCCTTCTCTGGCTACGGTGACTCCATCACCTTCCTCAACCTGCAGAAGAACGAGTAGGTTATCTAGAGTATTATAGAGAAGAACTAGAAGGTTATCTAGAGTATTATACAGAAGAACTAGAAGGTTATCTAGACGATTTTACAGAAGAACGATTATCTAGAGTCCTTTTTCAGAAGATCGAGTTGGGGGGAATATTTCACATGGGAAAAGTAATCTTTTCTAGAATATTTTACAGAAGGACGAGTAGGGAGAGCAATTCACAGAGGAAAAAATAGCCTATCTATAGTATTTGACAGAAGAATGTGTACCTGCGTTATTTAGAGTATTTTTTTATTTTACACTTCTGTAAAAAAAAATTCTAACGAGTAGGTTTTCTATATTTTAGAAGAACGAGTAGATTATCTAGAATATTTTAAGGAGGGCGAGTAAGTTTTCTATATTTTAGAAGAACAAGTAGGTTATCTAGAATATTTTACAGAATAACGAGTAGGTTTTCTATATTTTAGAAGAACAAGTAGGTTATCTTGAATATTTTACAGAATAACTAGTAGGTTTTCTATATTTTAAAAGAAAGAGTAGGTTATCTAGAATATTTTACAGAATAACAAGTAGGTTTTCTATATTTTAGAAGAACGAGTATGTTATTAAGAATATTTTACATAAAAACAAGGTTTTCTATATTTTAGATGAAAAAGTAGAGTATCTAGAATATTTTACAGAAGAACAAGTAGGTTTTTCATATTTTAGAAGAACAAGCAGGTCATCTAGAATATTTTTCAGAAGAATGAGTAGGTTTTATATATTTTAGAAGAACAAGTAGTTTATCTAGAATATTTTGAAGAAGAACGAGTAGGTTTTCTATATTTTAGAAGAACGAGTAGGTTATCTAGAATACTTTACAGAAGAACAAGTAGGTTATCTAGAATATCTTACAGGAGAAAACGTAGGTTTTCTATACTTTAGAAGAACGAGTAGGTTATCTTGAATATTTTACAGAAGACCTAGTAGGTTTTCGATATTTTAGCAAAACGAGTAGGTTATCTAGAATATTTTACAGAAGAACGAGTAGGTTTTCTATATTTTAGAATAACGAGTAGGTTATCTAGAATATTTTACAGAAGAACGAGTAGGTTTTCTATATTTTAGAAGAAAGAGTAGGTTATCTAGAATAATTTACAGAACAAGTAGGTTTTCTATGATATTTCAGAAGAACGAGTAGGTTATCTAGAGTGTAAGTAATAAGTATTGATTCTATTTGCGTGACAATGTACAAACTGTTTTCGCTGTAGAGACTTGGTAGTTGAAACAAAACTAGTGCAAGAGAGGCACGATTTTAAATTCGACACTGGATAGAATATATGACCAGTAAATATAATGTAATTTGACCCTAACCCAACACCTTTACCACTAAACACACACATATTACCACACGAGTTTTTGTACAAAATAATCTCAACTCATGTTATGTCAGCATCAAGATACTACCAGCTATGGCGTTTGACAACCTCAACTCCCTGGAAACGTTGAACCTCCAGAACAACAAGTTGACTCACATCCCCGAGGAGATCATGGAGCCCATAGTGGACACGCTGCGAGTGGTCGACATCATGGGTAAGGCATGAGTAAAATATACTCTCGCGTACGAACTTCCATAAGAAAAAAGTCGACAAATTTCAATACGAACATTTTCTGTGTCATATTGATATCAAATACAGTAGGCCTATTCCTACTTGTTACGTCATGTTGGCAAATAATCCAACAAACACAAATATAAATAGAACCAAAGACAGCTCTTAATTAAACTTCTATTTACTCCACGAGCTAGTCTTCCTCTGTCGAGAGTGTTAATTATACAACCCTATTGAAGAAGCTAATAAGCTATTCTGTATAGCTATAGCCATACTGATTTCATTATTCTCGCAATGAAAGATTTAAATAGGTTCTTGATAAGCATCGTACGTGTTATTAAATTTCCTGAACGTGCAAAAATGCATAAAATAAAACTTGTAATAGTATATTTATACTTAAACTCACAAGACAATTATACAAGATGATAAGTGGTGATCGATTTCGAATGGGCACTCCAATCATTATCAGATCCTATAGGCGAATATTCGGATGATGATGATGATTGGAGCGTCCAATCGAAATCGATCACCACTTACTATCTAATATATATTTACCCTCTTGTGAGTAAACAATATAAGTGTAAATCTATTACAAATGTTATTTGAGGTATTTTTGTGCTTTCAGGTAAATTAACAACACGTACGATGCTTAAAAAATTATATAAAGTGCGATATATGATTGAATCGCAATCTTTTCACAGACAACCCCCTCATCTGCGACTGCCAGTTGCGCTGGTTCCGCGACTGGATCAAGAACCTCAAGGACAAGGATGACGAGATGATGCAGAAGAAGAGGACGTTGTGCACGATGATGCCGGAGCACCAGGAGTACTACGTGCAGAACCTGCCTCTGGACAAGATGAACTGCGTCAGCAAAGGACTGATACGCGGCAGAGCGTCAGCAGCAGTGGCCACTTGTATGCTGCCCTACGTGCTGACGACCGTTGTGACGTGCTCAGTCAGACCGTGGACACTTCTCTAAGAGGTCAAAGTTCAACGAAAGTGCGCTGTGTCCATCCGGAGACATCGGTTTATTCCTAGAACCATAGACAAATAGAATGAAATATAGACATCCGTGTTGTGGTTAGCACTAGTTCTGGCGTCCACGGCTAGGAGCGCGGTATTAAGGCGCACGAGCTATGCAACTACACGGCACTCCAAGTGGTGGACGCCAGAACTAATGCTAGCCGCAGTATGGCTGTTCTATATGTCATTCTATTTGTCTATTCTAGTACGAATGGTTTTGCACGGTTAGATGAGATTAAATTCACAGGCATCGTTATATAGTAAGAAGCATAATCGATAAGTACCACTAATCCAAGGTTGTGTAACCCCTTTACACTTTTAGTTTAGTTTCCTTGGAGGATGATATTATTTTAATTTTTTTTTAATGATAATTAACTCTTCAGCAGCCGTTTGAAACTATCCAAGATGGCCGCTTCAACGACTCTTACATCTGCGTTCCTTTTAAACGCTGATTACTCTTGTCAAAGGAGAATGATTCAGTTTATAAGCGATAAATTATTTGATGCTATCCATCCTTTACGTGTTAAATTATTTTAATGTTTTGTTTCTCATTGGTAAATTTAAATTTGTTAGTATCCAGATTGAGAAGAAGGAATTGGATTAAGCAAACTTTACCATAAAGCCTTTATTATTATCATTTTTTACGCCCCTTGCGATCTTTTTCCGGATAGCCACAGCGCAGTCTTCGGTGGAAGTGAGACTTTGAACAGTTTGAAACGACTCGGGAACGAATTTTGACAAATCAAAATGTTCTGTCTTTCCGGTATATTTAGTCTTGGAGGAATAGTTATTTTAATTCTAAACTGTCACAAAAGGTGATGGACAAGATAATTTAATTATAATCCTTACATTAGGCTATTAAGTGTTGAAACAATTGCAAATTTGCAGATGTGTGATTTTAAAATTTAAATATTGTGTCATATCGATTAACAATGTTAACATTGAGGTTATAAGTAATTGTTGCTTATATTATTTGGAATGAGCATTGTCTAGTTTATATTTGAGGTTCGCTAGTGCTCTTTTAATATATCACATTATCTTTACCTGTATGTACAATAAATTTCCAATTAAATGTTTAGCAATGATAATTTAATGTTATATTGGTTTAGCCTAAACCGAAGAAAAAAATATCAACAAATAAAGTTGTAACAAAATACGACCTAACAATGTAAACTATTAAGTAACAATTTACTATGGCAAATTAAGTTTTTATTTAATATGATATAACTATTTAAAAATATATAAGTTTTAATTATCGATTAGTCTAGATTATTGGCAAATTTAATATATTTTTATTAGATAAATTTTATACTTAAAAATTTAAATACACTATACACCCTTCCAGAATCGTTTCAAAATTCCGAAATTGTTTTGAATAATTAGCGATTTAGGTACATGTATTTAGAAGACAAAAAATTATTTTCCTAACATTACAAACTCATTCCAAACAAAACAGCTAAGGTGGTTTGTAAAATTTTTACACCACACTTCCAAAATTGTTAACACAACATTCCATGGCAAAAAGTTGATTTATCTTAGAAACTAAGTTTGTTAAACCTCGTAAGTTTCGTTAAGTTAGTAGTTTAGTGCTATGTTTTGTACATAATGGACACGACCAGAGAATCATGTTCATACTATAAGTGTTCTACTAGCTTATGTGTAATTTCTGCTTAGAATAGATTCCCATAATTTCTTGTGCTAGTGTTCTTTTTCCCATCTAGCTTTGACAGATTTTGACTTGCGAAATCTTCGACGTTTCAAGCGATGTAAATATTGTCGAGGCTCGAAACGAATTTTTCGCTTACGTTACGTAGTTTATGTATAAAAATATGTAAATGTATTTTTTTAATAACGTAATTTAGGCCGCCGTGGCGGAAACGAACCATTCACACACATATCGAAGCCCGGGTGTTGAGATGCCTCTAAGGCCACACTACAGCCCGGGGTGACATTTTATACATCTGTTGAATTAAAATTGTTAAGGGTTTATGTATACATATCAGTGGCAACTACACATATCTCGATACATATCGTCTTTGGTGTATAATTCTAAGTGTGCGTGCGCGTTTGAATCTATCGTGTCTTACCAATTAACTGTTTCACATCTCGGTTGCATTTAAGTGATAACTGAACTATGTATGTGATGTGGTTGAAAGAATAAATTATTATTGAAAGTTCTGAATTGTGTTTGAATTCCTTCGTTTTCTATTTGTAGACATATTGAGCTGTCGTTTGACATTTAAGTTTGAAATTGGATCAAGATGAGAATTGAGGCAAGCTGATCTAGTGGTTTAAGCTAAGGACTTCGGTCCCAGAGGCTCCAGGTTCGAATCCCGCCAATCACCAATTGATTTTATCCATGTTGCCGCAACCTATATGCCCGGCCTGAAGTAACGTGAGAAACAATTCCAAGCTAGGGAGCCTAACGTAATAGTAGGTTTCTATGTGAGGTGGGAGATGAAAGATGTAATGGGATAAACAAATCTATACTTGTCTGGGTAGCGTATTGTGCTCGCCTTAAAATCTGAAGGCCGCTGGTTTGAATCCATGCGAGATCGTTTCCAACCCAGATGCAATTTGTCATTTGGGCTATGATAATGATGATCTAACTAAAAGGTCTACTTAAGGAAGTAACAAGACCAGGGTTTGGACCTTTCCCTTTCAAAACGTAAAAATTGCCACTGGCGTAAATACACACAAAATAGAAATAAAATTCAAGGTTTGTGTTAAGTAGAAGGAGGCTTTATGTTAGTATTTACACTAAACGCTACCTACGGTACGTGCGTAAAGTCATCATTTCATTATAGTAACTTTAAATAATTAAGTTATTAACTTTAATTGATATTATAAGGCATTACCTTAGCAATTAACTTTAATTAAGTTCTTCAGAGCTAGTAAAAATAACAGAGTAAAACTTATAAGTTTTTTTTTATAGATACAGTATTTTTTTAATATTATATATTTGAAACGCCCGTTCCAATTAGGCTAGCTTACGTTGAGTTTTGTATCTGGAAGATCGTTGACCAAAAGGTTTGTTTGTTTTATAGTTTCTAACATATAAAAATTCCCAGAACACATTACGTTAATTATGACATAGGTTACTGTGGTTTTACAGCTCAAACCCTCTTGGAAAAGGCGATATTTTATGTACCTTTCACATATGGAGCAGTAACCAAGCTTTCAACTCGTTAAACGTTATAGGTTTGTGTGTTAAGGTAATGTTTAAGTGGAATTACGTACTTTTCCATAACAGTTCTAAGAGGCAATGATACAGTATTTGACACTCTAACAGAAGTGTGTCAACGACAAATCTAGCTTTTATATCCACTATGAGCATTTATACTCATACTCACTAAGCGCATTCTTTTGTCTTAGTTTCCTCCCTTCTTACATCATATGACTGTTAAATTACCATATTGTAAATAAATTACTTTTGTAAAATCTTTACAACTTATCCCACTCAATATGGGTTATTTAATAAAAAAGAGGTTCGAAAAAATCTACTTTGGATTTGGGTAGTAGCAATAGACTTGTTCAGTTGTTTGATAGTTTTAATGCTAAAATTCTCAAGTTTTATTAGAAACTTAGTATAACTCGATATGAGCACTGTTAGTGACCCGGTATGAATGTAAGCGAAAGTTGACCTCTTCCCAGGTATTTGTCAGTACTTCAGGGGGTGTTGCACCAACAATCAACAAGCTTATAGCTTATAGGCTCATGCAACTATTCTCTGTCGGAGGTGATTCAGATCCCAAATCTGCACCGAGTAGACATCATTCTTTACTGCCCCCAAAGGAAAAAGTCCAGTCATATCTGGGCTCCTAGGAGGCCATTGGATGGACCCTAAAATACTAACACTAATACCCTGCCATGTCCACCGATCGTCGAAAAGATTATCTAACGCTTATCGCACACGTAAACTGTATTGTGGTGGCACTACATCCTGTTAAAAATATACAGGGCCATTCTGCCCCTCAATATCATACAACTATGGAAAACTGTCCTCCTCTAACATGTCACAATAAATGTCACCGTTTCTGAAATGTCACAATAAATATCCTTTGAAGTACCAAAACCTGGGAAGAGGTCAAATTTCTCTTGGGCTTATGCCGGGCCACTAATGGTGCTCATATCGAGTTATACCAAGTTTCTAATAGAACTTGAGAATTTTAGCTTTAAATACATACAGTGTGTAAATTAAGTATAAAAACAAATCTCAATTTTTTAAACCGAAATAGATAGAAATGTTGTTTGTTGCATTTATTTTTAACAAAGGTTCCACAATTTTTATCATGAAAAATTGTTTAACCCCTTAACAGGGTAGGGGTTAGGGAGTGACTTATTTTTTCAAATAGCAACCCCTATTATGAGTGACCCCTAATTTTGAAGGGTTTGTAAAAAAACACAATGACATGAACCCGAGGTGGATATCTCACCCCTAGCCAAAATGGCGAGTATTCCAAAATGGGTGTTTTTTTTTCACATTAATCATATTTTGGAATACCCGCCATTTAGGCTAGCGGTGAAATATCTACCTCGAGTTTGCGTTATTGTATTTCGTTTGACAAACCCTTCAAAATGAGGGGTCACTCAATAGGGGTTGCTATTAAAAAAAATTATTAAACCCCTTCCCCCTACCTTGTTAGGGGGGTTAAACAATTTTATTGAAGTAAAACATTGCGGAACACTTCTTAACAATCAATGCTACAAACAGAATATTTCTATCTATATCGGTTTAAAAAATACAGACTTGTTTCAATACTTAATTTACACACTGTATATAAAACATGGTCTCTTATTTGGCATTTCCCTTTAAAATTTTTCAGTTATTTTGTGGACACCCTGTTTTAAACCATCCCGATACTTTTCAACGAATGTATGTACATTTTAAAGTGTTCATCAAGAGCTCCATGTATGAGCATCACAAATTTATCCTTCATTTCCGACCAAGGGTTTTATAGCCTTTACCTTTGTTCGTTTACTGCCCGTTGCTAAGATACTAAGAATCCTATCCTGCTTTGCCACAGCAAAACGTACATTGCACGAGTATATTATTGTAGGGTAACTTTGAAAATCACTCAACTTTTTTTCAAATTTATCTTTTTAATCTTTTTTATTTAATTGACTTCATTTTGTAACATGTAGTATAGCGCTTAACTGTACGTAGATATCTCAAGATCTCGTAAATGAAGTATTTTTACTCTAGTATTTTACACATTAAGTTTATCTATCACAAATCTTGGGGAAAAGGTTTTCTAAAATTCAAAATACTTAAAGCTTATGGAATAAAATAAATATTGAATTAAATAATTACGAAAAACCATAACCACAATTCGTATACACAAAATAACTATAAATAAAGAATAAATAATCCATCATTTTCGTTTCAGGCAAATGCATCTTATAATGAAATGTAATATACGTCAATTCATGTATATTAAATATGAGTACTCATAAGGTTAACATGGGAAACTCCAGAGCCACTGAGGCGGAGCCCAGAGGTCGGAGGGTAAAACCCTTTCTTAGTGAGCGTCTACTACCCAAAAGGAAGATGCCTGCCAAGTTTCAGGTTCCTAGGTCTTATGGTTTCTGAGATTTCGTGATGAGTGAGTCAGTGGTATTTGAGCATTATATATATAGAGATTAACATCTTTACACTTACGTAATCCCAAACAGGGAATTAAGACAGCCTGTTAATTTTTTTGTTTCATTTCACAGCTAAATTCCAGATATATATTATAAATATAAAGTATTGTATCCTTAAAATATAACTGAGGGTAAAGGTTTAAAAACCTCTGGGGTAGGTTGGTTGCTCCTTTGGCTTTATAGGATCATAAATCCAGAACTGATCACGCACAGGCTTCGGCAAACTGACCTCAAAATATTTGGAGGTTAACCACGACAAAAGCCAATTCCAGATATATTTTCCAAAATAAAAATATTACTTGTCAAATTCAAAGGGGATAGAGAATTTGTATTTTCCATTCGTGCGGGCCTCACTGTGTGCGTAATGTCATGTAATTGAATATGTAAACCATAAATCTCTATGGTGTACTATAAAGAGATCCATGGTTTAGGCCGTTAACGAACTAAACCAATAATTATGTGCAACACTTGGGAGCGAACCCATGACGTCATTGTCTGTTGCCATGGATACGTAGCTCATCGCACTACTAGGTCACTTTTTAAAACGTTTTTATTAGCTCGGTTTCTTGTCCGGTACAAATTTTGCAATCAATTTTATAGTAACTTCCCGATGAGCTAGAGACTTGAAACTTGAAATATAGCTCATAAATGGAAGACAATGCAATATTATATCATTTAATTTTCATATTTCCCTTGGGCTACGCCCCCATGGGCTTGTTTTTATTAACTCGCTTTCTTGCAAATTTTGATACTTTCCGATGAGCTAGAGACTTGAAATTTGAAACATAGCTCACAAATGGATGACAATGCAATATTATATAATTTAACTTTCATATTTCTCTTGGGCTACGCCCCATGGGCTTTATTTCATTAGCTCGCTTTCCTACAAATTTTGATGTCAATTTTAAACGAAGTTCCCGATGAGCTAGAGACTTGAAATTTGAAACATAGCTCACAAATGGATGACAATTCAATATTATATCATTTAATTTTAATATTTCCCTTGGGCTACGCCCCATCGGCTTCCAAATTTTCCTTGTTTACATTTTGAAAGAATGTAAATACTGTATATCAATTAATTTAAGTCAGCTGTAAATACTTAAATTTGACAGTTCGAAGAGCAAAGGTTAAGTGGTACAGGTTATGCTCCCAAGAGATTATATATACAAACAAACATTTCAAAATATTCTATAAAGTAAACAATAAATTTAATAGATTGATAATTTTATAGTTAGTAGGTAGGCCATACATTCAATATAATACATAATTATATGAAAAGAAACTCAAATAAACCTTAGATTTCCCACATGCCTCTGTCTTAATCTGATATAGATGCTTGAAATAGATTTAACATCCACAAACATTCAAAACTAAAAAGTAGAAAATAATTTATGAATAAAAAGCTTTTTTTAAAAAACAAAACGTTTTTAAACGCACTAAAAAGTAGAAAATAATTTATAAATATGTGGAGAGTATAAATACTTGTAAAATTTAAAACGAAAAACGTGGGGTGCATGCAATAGATAATTTT